TTCCCTTTCTAAATCTGTCAATAACCATATTATAAAAATAACTATTTGAAGATGCATATTATGTGTCCTGCCACCATAGAATCATGCCCTTGTCAATTATTGAGGAGATCAAGTTTCTGATAGCATCTTAAAGCGTGTTACTGATTTTAAAAAGTACCCCCATCAAGTTTGAAGAGAATTTTAGATATCATTTATGATTGAAGGGGTTGGGGTTGTTTAAATTGACTCTTTTTGCATTTCGGGAAAACAAACAAAAACCCCCCCAAAAAGACACAAAAAACCCCAACAAAACTCCACAAAAAATAAGAAAAAAGAAAAATAATTCTAAACCCAAACCTTAAAATTTGCCACTGTGGAATTAACCTCTATTTCCCAAAGAGATGAGGTAAAGCTTAATTTCATTCAAGTTCAAGTTTTTCGACCAAACACTGAGACGGATCACAGTTATTCTCAAGAGAACATCTCCAGTAATATAAATGGGTAATGAAGAAGAGTATTCAAGAGACCATAAAGTTATACCCATATAGCACACAATACTGTGCACCCTGCCGTAATTTTGATTCACCAACGAGCGCACTATTTGACTTTATTTTGGAACCAAATAAATGGCATGGAAGAAAAGTCAACAGCAGTCTCAATTATAGCGAGACTGGTGTTATTCTTTTCACTTGCACGCCTATGGTGAGTACCAGCGCAACTTAGTTCCTAAATACAGCAAAGAGCAGCGCCTGTGACAGGATCTGGTCTAGGATATTATAAACCAAGGCTATACTACGAAAAACGCTAAAGCTAAAGATATTTCCCCCAAAAAAATTATAACGGTGCTATCGTCTGCAAAGGATTCACTGAATACACTATACCTTTCAAGAGCACTTGTCTCAATTCAACGGGGTGAAGCCTCTTACCGCCTTTGCTTAGAAACTTTTCATACTCCGGTGGGCAGGGCTCTGAGTTCAGTAAGGCCGATATCCTGAGATAAAATTGAAGAAAGAGATATACCGTCATAGATATGCTGGTAGCCCCTGACATTACTACTTCTGTCAATTGAGGCCGAATAAAATTTCTCGTCATTTTTTGTAAGTCACAAAAATATACACATAATACTAGTCGTGGACAATACAGACACCAACATCTTTATTAAAATTTTATGTTCATCATCTTTATTGATTTCATCAGTTTCTTTCACGATCAAAAGAGACGACACTGTCTTCCTCATCAAAACGATATGAAGAAAATCAACAACGAAAACGAGAAGGAGTAGTAGTAGTAGTAGAAGTAGTAGTAGAAGAAGAAGAAGAAGAAAAAGAAGAAGAAGAAGAAGAAGAAGAAGAAGAAGAAGAAGAAGAAGAAGAAGAACAACAACAACAACAACAACAGCAACAACAACAACAACAACAACAACAACGGTAGAAAACAACAACAGCAATAACGCACAGCTCCGAGAAATGTGTTTCAAATCAACAGGGTGAAGTACACACGCTCAGGGACCTGGGTTGAGTGCTATATAAATTACCATAAATGAGGGAGAAACGAGTAGTGGACAATACCATTCATATTCTTAAAAAAGCATTACCGAATCTTAAGGACAAAAAGAGACGGTGAAAATGAGTTACCTGTCCATCTTGACACAATGACTGAGTTCTGCTCCAAGAATACGCCACTGAGAAGAATGGGATTTCCAGGAACAATATGTGACCACGGGAACCTGTGACAAAAAAAAAATTATTACCGAGTATAAATAAACTTTGAAGCAATTTATTATATACCTCATTTCATCTCGCAAGTCGTTAAGACTTCGAGTTCAGATGAGATGCAGCGTTTCGTTCAACTGTATACTTGGTATCACAACGATTTATATTGCAAATTATCTATTAATAATAGTTTGTTTCGATCTTGTTCCAGCTTGTTTGCATTGCAGTAGGCAAAAATATACCACTTACTTCATTGACTACTAGCAAGGACCTCGTTCAACGCTGGTTTGATAGTACTGCAACTTTAATACTATATGCAACTACGGTCCGAAAGACTCTCATACCACTCGATAACCAGTTGACCGAAAGATCCGCAGTTTGAAGTGTTTGTGCGTGGGTTTGTGGAATTATCAAGGCTCTCTGCCTATCATGGTCTTATCGGGCGGAGTGAACGTTAAATATACACCTCTTAGCTAACCAACTCTGTCGCTAGTGACCTTGTCAGCTGTCATAAAGATACAAATGTGAGCTTTAGGTTTAAATTTAAGTGTTCTATTTTTTTCACTCATTCAACCTTCTAGACTACGGTCCCAGTGATGCAGTTTTGAGTCAACAGCTTGAACTTTTCGCGCGTGCATTTGAGGAATTTTCAAAGCTCCCTGCTTATTTGGCATGGTCCCATCTGTAGCGAACGTTAACTATACACTTCTCGGCAAACCAACGCTGTCGCCAGTGACCTTGTCAGTTGTAATTATGACGTAATATTCACGTTGCATCAGGGATGAACGTGTTGTGATGTGAAAGGGGTAGACTAGCGATCTTGTTAGCCGTCTTAGAGATATGAGGCTAAAGTTCATATTTCAGTGTTCTCTTTTTCCCCCATACTACATGCTGGACTACCGTCTGGTTGATACTTACTTTTCTTTTTACTTTTTCATTCTCTGTTGCCATTGAGCGTCGAGGGGAGATGCAGTTTTCTATGGTAGGCCAGCTCCGCAGCTCTTTCAGTTGTGATGTTATGTTTTCTTAGGGTTTCCTTGACACCCTCGATCCACCTTTTGGGTGGCCTTCCTCTTCCTTTATAGCCTGAGTGCTTGGTGTTGTAAGCTCTCGAGGCTGGCTGGT